TTCAACACATTAAGGGCCATGTTAAAAACACATAGCTAATATACTGAATGGTGAAAGACTAAAAGCTACAAGTCTGACCACTTTCATCAGTTTTATTCAATGTAGTATTGGAAGTTCTATCAAGAGCAATTAGAAAATAAAATAAAAGACATTCAAATGGAAAAGAAAGAAGAAAAATAGTCTTCATCAATGACATTATCTTACATGTAATATATGCCAAATATTCTACACACACATATACATATATTACCCAGGAACAGTGGTACATCCTATGACCCTAGCTACTCAGGAGGCTGAGGTAAGAGGATTACAAGTTTTAAGGCAGTGTGGGCAACTTAGTGAGACCATGTCTCAAAAAGAAATTTAAAAATAGCTAAAATATGATTCAGTGGTAGACTGCTTGCCAGCATTCATAAAATCAATCCCCAGTATTATTAGAAACAAACTAAATACCTGAAGGAGCTAATAAAAAATATTCAGTAAGGTCGCAGGACATAAAACTAAAAGACAAAATCAATTACATTTCTTTAACAATAAACAATTGAAACAGGAAATGAAGCAAACACTTCCATTTACAATATCATAAAACAGGACAAATGCTTAGGAATTAACTTAACAATGAAGGAATATGTTTAACCAAGAAATACAATTTTGCATACTAGAAGCCACCAAACATTCATTAAAGAAATAATAAATTCAAATAAAGAGACTGAAGTTTCATGTAAATGATAACAAAAAATTAATACAGCACTGGTCAAAGCTATGTATAGAATTAAAGTATCTTTCAAAATTCCAATGATATTTAGTTTGCAGAAAAAGAAAAACTCATTCTAATATTCATATAAAGTCTCATAGGACCAAAAATATATAAAAAATGCTCAAAGTTATAGAACTCAAATTTCCTGACCTGAGTATGTATTAAAATGCTATGCTAATCAAGACAATGTGGTGCTGACACCAAGGTAGTATACAGACCAATGGAACAGAATTGAAAGCCCATAGGGAAATCCCCTCATGTATATGAGCCATGAATTTTTGACAAGGGTTCCAAGAGTATTTAAGTGAGGAAAAGTGTGGTATTTTCAATAGATTATTCTGGAAAAACTGAATGCCTACATGGAAAAGAATGAAGTCAAATATTAACCCATTACAAAACAACCTAAAATTGATGGAAGACCCATGTATGAAAGGAAAAAAAAAACATTAAACTTGTAGTAGAAAATCCTCCATGATTTTTACCCAGTGATAATTGTCATCATGACAACGAAACTGTCACTAACAAAAATGCTGGAAAACTAGACTTCACGCAAAATACAGCATTCTTGTATATCACAGCACTCCATTGAGAGAGTAAAAATACAATGCACACAACAGTACTGCATATTCAGAAATCATGCATATGATAAAGGATTAATATTCATAATATATGAAGACATCTACAAGTTAACAATAAAATTCCAAACATCCAAAACAAAAAAATCCGCAAAAAGAAGCCAGGCCATGGCACACACCTGTAATCTCAGTGGCTTGGGAGGCTGATACAGGAGGATTACCTATTCAACTCAGCCTCAGCAAAAGCGAGGTGCTAAACAACTCAGTGAGACCCTATCTCTAAATAAAATACAAAATAGGGCTGGGATGTGGCTCAGTGGTTGATTGCCCCTGAGTTCAATTCCCAGCACCTAAATAAATAAATAAGCAAAAAGATATGAATACACACTTTGTTAAAGAAGACAAATGGCCAGGAAGCAACTGAAATAATGTTCTACCTTGTTGGTTACTAGGGAAATGAAATTCAAAACTACAGTTCATAATCATTAAGGAGATTATTACCAAAAGCTATAAATTTATCTTGGTAGAGGAGACTGTGGAGAAATCAAACCACTTGTGCATTCTTGTTAGAAATTTAAGGAGGTAGAGCTACAAAACATTTGGAGATTCCTTACAGGAGTAAACAAATGATTAATCTATGATCTAGGAATTCTATTCCTGGAAGAAGTAAAAGCAGGATCTCAAACATACAGGTACACAAGTGTTTGAAGGAACATAATTTGCAATGGTCAAATGGTAGACACAATAAAAGTCTCCATCATTTCATAAATGAATAAACAAATGTGGTACATACAGAGAGTGGAATATTATTCAGCAATAGAAAGTGATGATAGATACTAAAACATGGAAAAGTCTATATGATGTAAATTAAGTTCAAGAGAAACAGAAATACACATAAATTTACATGGTTATATTTGCTGAATTGACTGCAAGATACCAACTCACTGACAATGAAAATAGTGGGCTGGGGATGGGGCTCAAGCGCTAACGCGCTTGCCTGGCATGCGCAGGGTGCTGGGTTCAATCCTCAGCACCATATAAAATAAAATAAAGATGTTGTGTCCACCAAAAACTGAAAAATAAATATTAAAAAAAATTTCTCTCTCTTCTCTCTCTCTCTTTAAAAAAAAAGAAAATAAAATAGTGTACAGATCATCAGGGGTTGGAGAAGGGAGGTCAGGGAGTTTTGTGTGAAGGGAGGAGAGAGGTTTCAGTGTAAAATGCCTAAGATATGGAGCGGTACAGAGTTGATGTTGCACATCACTGGGAATGTATTTAATTTCATTAAAATAAACACCAAAAAATGTTTGATATGATGTATATTAAACCACTATTAAAAAAACCAGCTCTCAATCAATGACAAAAAGAATAAAAACCCAGTAGCATGGGTTGAGGAGCCACAAAGGACAAGCTGGAAGACCCAAATTGACCTCTGCCAAGTGTGTCTGCAAACACTTAGCCCATTTCCTCCTGGGCAGAATCCCCCACCCATGGGTGGTGGTGAAGTTAAATGGGGGAAGGGAGTTGGTCAGGAGACTGACATCTGACACAAAGTGCCCAGGTTATAGAAATCAGAGAGCGAGGCATCAGGGACTGAGTGTGGAGGCCGGTGGGTGGAGGAGGCCCAGAGTGTGGGGACTGTCAGGTGAAGAAGGGAATATTCCTGGGGGACAGCAGCATTTCAAAGTGAAACATGACAGAAGAACTTCAGGCATGGCTCAGGGACAACGGAGTGTATGCATTCTAGATGGGGACATGCGGCAGAAGTATGAAAACCATGATCTCTGCGGAGGGGATGGGTTGGCTAAAAGCTGCAGAAGAGACTGTGGAGAGAAGCCCTTCTGCAGTATTGGTAGGAAGGTGAAGGGGTGCCACCACTGAGGAATACAGTGCAGGTCAGCCTGCAGCCTGAGAGTTTGAGGGCAGGTGTGTCCCCTGGATTCCTGGGTGTGTGTAGGCACAGAGAAAACAGGTCCCTGCCCAAGGAGGTCAGGAAGACATTAACCTTGACCATCTGGTACATCCTTCCATTCTACAGGCTCTAAGCTCACTTCCAGCATCTTCCAGGTGAAAACCCAGAGCTTCCCCAGCCCATTCTTCCTTCATGTGCATTTACGGAGGTCAGACTGCAAGAGCCTTCTGGGCCCACCTTCCAATGAGGGCATCCAGTGAGTTGCTGGGATCCTGAACAGTGTGGAGAGATGTCCCTGGAAGTTTGTAGGCAGCAGTATCTGGGGCAGGAACAGCCCAGATATCTGCAGCAGGATAGCCTAAGGTTGCCTGGGGCAGGAACATGACCCTGTGCCCCAGTGTAGGAGCAGGAGGCAAAAGGATGTCAGGGTTCTAAGTCAGTGCCAGGACCAATCCAGCTTTGGCCTTTCTGTCCATCGTGGTTAGCTACTTTGGGGACTGTGTGTCGGGCGTGTGTGTCTCCTATCATTGACTCATAGCATGTCTCAGTTCATATTGTTTCTCACTCCACCTGTGTCACAACCTATTCCATCCACTCCAGGACTAGAATGGACCACTAGTAGCCTCTAACAGATCCCTAGTATACAGGGCAGGAGGGTGCCTACAACAGGTGACAACCGAGAGGACCCACTGGGCTCATGGTTGCACTTTGGAAATACAAGCCCAGGAAGTTTGTCAGCCGTCAGAGTACCCATCAATTCACCAACCCTATGCCAAAGGGGTAAGCACCACACTGGATTCTCTAAGGATCCCCTTCTGTGAAGGCCATGTCATGGCATAGGTGTGGTTGTGCTGCATAGGATTTGGAGGGTGGGATTCATGTTCACCCCATCTTCAGTAGACATGGAGAAGGAGAAAAAGAAGAGGATCCAAACCTAGAACGATAGAAAGACCCTAGCCTCTGAGACCCAGGTCTTCTCACCATCACCATCCTCTTTCCCAACCAATGAGTACACCCCAAGCAGGACATCAGAAAATGCTTTCCCTTCTCTTCAGCCCAAGATATTTGGCAGATACCAAACATGTAGGGATGAAGACCAGCAAGGGCCTCCACGAGCTTCTGAGGTCTGCCCCACAGCTCTGCCAATGTGCAGTGTTCATCCTAGACCAGCAGGCCAAGCTGGGAATGGAACCCAGTCCACCTCTCCTGGACCCAACACCTACCTTCGCTTCCTTTCAGTGACAGCCAGCAGGTGCCTAAGACACCATCCATCTTCCCTTGGGCCACAGAGAGGCAGAGCCACCTGCTCCTGTCAGTGCAGGGATTGTGCCTTGTCTGACAATGTAGGGGAAGGAAGAAGCAAAACATGAGGGGCAGCAAAGCACAGGACCAGAGCAGAGGCACTGAGACAGTGGCCCACAGAGGCCACAGAGCACTCTCTCCAGAAAAGCCAGCAGTGAGCCCTCCACATGGCTCAGAAGGCAGCTCCTAGCCCTCAGCTGACTGAGGGGCAGGTGGGAAAAAGATCTGGGCCAGCTTGCTGGAGGGACAGAGCCATCCAAAGACCCTTTGCTGACTTCCCTCCTTGTAGGCAATAAGTAAGCTGCTGGGGGTTCTGCCTGGGTTTGGACCACAGATAGCCCTGCCTGTCCTTTGGCAGAAGCTGAGGTCCCTAAGGCTAGGCCCTGCCTGCAGTGACTTTAGGTCTACTGCTCCCCAAAGGCCAAAGGGAGGCAAGATCAGCAGGGCCACTCACTTGTCCAAGACAATGTAGACATCAGAGACACCTTCACATTGCTCCTGTGCATCTGCTGTGTCCCTCCGGTACAATTTGAGATGTAGGACCTGACCTTGGTGGTAGTGGAAACTTCTGGAAGCCAGGCCAGATCCATAGGAGTTTCTCCAGCCAAGCCTCTGTTCACAGAACCTCCCTGTGATAAGCAGTATCAGCAGCAACAGAACCAGCAGGAAGAAGGAAGAATTGGTTATCCATGGGCAGCATCCCCACACTTTCATGGCTGCACTTGTAACTCTGACTTCACTTAAGTAGAAGGTAGGCTAGCCATGGCCACCTCTCCCCTCTTCTGCTTCTGCCTGAGCCCTGGGGCCACATCCCTCCCTACCCTACCACCCTTATTCACTCTGATCTTTCCCCAAGTAATCCCCACAAAAAAGGGAGAAAGAATGCAACTGCTCTGGGTGTCCTGGCACCAGCTACCTGCACAGCCCTTCCCCCACCCAGAGATAGAATTCCCAGTAGTTATGATTGACAGGAAGGTTGCCATGGTGACTTTGTGACCTGCAACTCTGCTCAATTTCCTACATGTTGAGGATACCAAATGCGACTTTTAGGATCTTTTCAGGGGTGTGAAATGAAGCTTCCATGTTCCTCATCTCAGCCACTCACACCTGATTTTTAAGGGGCCACCTGAAGGAGCTCACATGTTCAGTTAACCAGAGAGGGCAGCTGAAATCGCTGAGATCAAGACATCACTGTGGATGAGGAATCGGGGAATGGGAGCCAGTGGGTTGGAAAAGGAAGGGCCAATTTTGTGAATTCTTTGCTCAGCTTGGGAGGTAGGATCTAGAAAGAGATGAAGACCATGCTGTTGCCTAAATCTTTCCTGAATAGAGCGTGCAATCCTGTTGTCCACTACCAAAGAAGAACCACAAAATTGGTGACTAACACAGGCTCAGACACACAAACAGGCAGAGTAGGGAGGGGTCCCCAAGAAGAGTGTCTTGGGAGACTTTCACAATGGTGTTAGACCTGGGTGATTGGAACTGGAGGTATCTGGAAGCTTCCTCACACTCATATGTGGCACCTGGACTGGGTGATTCCTATACTGGGCTCTAGAGGGACTATTTGTGAAGACCCTGCATGTGGCCCTTCCTCAGTACACACATTTCCTCACAGCACTGTGGCCTCAGTGTGGGTGCATGCTTTTCTTGGTGGCTCAGAGCTCCAAGGGAGAGTATTTGCAGTGAGCAAGACAAACTCTAGCACCCTTTATGATATCACCTCAAGAGTCACATAGGGCCACCTCTGTATTATGGTCAAAGCAGCCTCAGCCTATTAAGACTCAGACAAAGGGACTCAGATCCCAGTCCTCAGTGGAAAGGATATGGATGGAGCTGTCCTGTGCTTTAGCACTGCCACATCTCAGAGCTTAGAATGGCAGAGAGCAGACAGCATGCAGAGGCAGAGGCACAGATATTGCATTCAAAAGCAACCAGAAAGGTCAGACTGTGAAGGGAAAATATTTTAGAAATACCTTAATCAATTATATTTCATTTTATGTGCATAAAATTAAAATTCCAACTAAAATTCCTTTTCTAAATCAGGTAATGTGTATAACATAAATGTAACAAATGACATGTCATTGGATTGGTAGGATTTTTTAAAATATATTTATCAGTTATAGGTGGACACATATCTTTATTTTTAAGTGGTGCTGAGGATCGAATCCAGTGCCTCACGTGTGCTAGGCGAGCACTCCACCTCTGCAAGCACTCCACAATTCCAGCCCCTGGTAGGATTTTTTGTTGTATCTCTTCCTCTTTGGGTGGATGTTCAAAATAATGGAAAACCTTGACTAAGTGCTACATTAGAAATGATGAAAGCTAGTGTCCCTCACCCTTAGCACTTTGTGGTCCTCTTGGTTCAGTGTTCTTTTTTTTATTTTTTAGTTTTATTGATTTTATTTTTTTATGTACATGATAGTGGAACACATTACAGTTCTTTTTTAAATTTAATTTTATTTTTTTATTGTTGGTTGTTCAAAACATTACATAGTTCTTGATATATCATATTTCACATTTTGATTCAAGTGGGTTATGAACTCCCATTTTACCCCGTATACAGCTTGCAGAATCACATCAGTTACACTTCCATTGATTTACATATTGATATACTCATGTCTGTTGTATTCTGCTGCCTTTCCAGCAGGGCTCTGTGGCGCAATGGATAGCGCATTGGACTTCTAGCGCATTACAGTTCATATTACACATATACAGTACAATTTTTCATGTCTTTGTATATAGAGTATTTCATGCCAATACATGTCTTTATACATATACTTTATTGTGTTTTTTTTGCATTAAAATTCTTATTACACATATATACCACAATTTTTCATATAAGTTTATATATAAAGTATGTTGACACCCAATTCAAGTCTTCTTCATACATGTACTGTGGATAATGATGTCTATCACATTCCACTGCCTTTACTAATCCACTGGCTCCTCCCTTTCCTTCCCTCCCCTCATCCCTATCTAGAATTCATCTAATCCTCCCATGCTCCCCCTCCCTACCCCACTATGAGTCAGCCTCCTTATATCAGAGAAAACATTCAGCATTTGATTTTGGGGGATTGGCTAAATTCACTTGGCATTATCTTTTCCAATGCCATCCATTTACCCACAAATGCCATGACTTTATTTGCTTTTAATGCTGAGTAAAATTCCATTGTGAATATATGCCACATTTTTAATCCATTCATCCCCTGAAGGGCATCTGGGTTGGCTCCACAGTTTAGCTATTGTGAATTGTGCTGCTATAAACATTGATGTTGCTGTGTTCCTATAGTATGCTGTTTTTAAGTCCTTTGGGTAAAGTCTGAGGAGAAGGACAGCTGAGTCAAATGGTGGTTCCATTCCAAGATTTCCAAGGATCCTCCATACTGCTTTCTATATTAGCTGCACCAATTTGAAGTCCCACCAGCAATGTATGAGTGTACCTTTTTCCCTACATCCTTTCCAATACTTGTTGTTTGTCTTCATAATAGCTGCCATTCTGCCTGGAGTGAGATGATATCTTAGAGTAGTTTTGATTTGCATTTCTCTGATTGCTAGAGATGATGAACATTTTTTAATATATTTGTTGATTGATTGTATATCCTCTTCTGATAAGTGTCTGTTCAGGTCCTTGGCCCATTTGTTGATTGGGTTATTTGTTTTTTTGGTTGCTTAGTTTTTTAAGTTTTTTTTTTATATATCCTAGAGATTAGTGCTCTATCTGATGTGTCGAGAGGTAAAAATTTGCTCCCAGGATTTATACTCTCTGTTCACTTCACAAATTGTTTCTTATGTGAGAAGAGGCTTTTTACTTTGATTCCATCCCATTTATTGATTCTTGGTTTTAATTCTTGCACTACAGGAGTCTTATTAAGGAAGTTGGGGCCTAATCCCACATAATGAAGATTAAGACCTTCTTTTTCTTCTGTTAGATGCAGTGTCTCTGGTTAATTTTGAGTTACATTTTGTGCATGGTGAAAGATAGGGGTTTAATTTTATTTTATTGCATATGGACTTCCAGTTTTCTCAGAACCATTTGTTTAAGATGCTATCTTTTCTCCAGTGCATGTTTTGGCACCTTTGTCTAATATAAGATAATTGTAATTTATGGGTTAGTCTCTGTGTCCTCTCTTCTGTATCTTGGGTCTACCAGTCTGTTTTGGTGCCAATACCTTTCTGTTTTTGTTACTATTGCTCTGTAGTATCATTTAAGGTCTGGTATAGTGATTCCACCTGTTTTGCTCTTCTTGCTAAAGATTGCTTTAGCTATTCTGGGTCTCTTATTTGCTTCAGTTTTCAACAAGGAAATGCAGCAAGATAAAAATGTGGGAATGAACTCATGCACAGCTGCACATCATTGGGGTGGCCCAGCCCAGGTGCTACATGTGAGTGGGGAAAGGTCCAGATATTTCAGTCTCCACTTACCAATGTCTCACTCTGCTGCTCAAGTCACACTATGAGATCCCTCATGGGGAGTCCAACCATGTTGTTCTCCTACTGGTCACATGCATAGAACCTAGGAGCACAAGAAAAAGGGTACTTGTTTTAAGTCATCAAATTTGGATGCTTGTTACTCTGCAGTGAATAATGGAGATGTCCTCATATTCTCAAAAGATTTAGACATTGGCGTAATCTTCACATCTTTATGGCCAACTTCAGAGTTCACACAAATGACCTCTCTATTCCAACCTGATGTCCTCCCAGTTTCTAAATCCTCACCCACTGATGTTAATCACCTGAGTCTTCCACTCCAACTAAACACCTGAATCTATATCTAAACACCTGAATTTCAGGTACCTTGTGGTAAAATACCCAGAGGAGAAGCTTCACCAGGCCCTTGGACAGGTTCTTGGTGGAGGGTAGTAGGGCACATTTTTGATAGAGCAGTAAGAGTGCTGGCTCCTGCACATAGGCAGAGGAGGCCTGGTGTGGCTAGCACTAAGCCTACTTTGGCCCTGACATAGGGTCCCAAGTATGATGTCTATCACAGCATCAGTCAAAAAATAAAAATAAGAGACTACTGTTCTGGGTGTTGGATTGTCTTTTTGTTTAGTTCTGATGTTGCCTATGCTGTTTTTTAGAACCAGAAGCTTCCTGAACCCCAGTCTGGCTGGGGAGACTATGATGCCTACTTCCTTCAGTTGGAAAGTTTCTACGACTATGAAGACCCTGAAGTGAGGCAGAACACAGATTAGAAAAAGGAGGAGACTCTGTAGTACAGCACTGGCATGTCCATTGATATGCCATCTGATATGAACTATGTCTTTCCCATGTGAGTGTGAAGGATTCTGTGTTGACCACTGGATTACATTTCTGTTTAGCCTATTCATATCATTCATTTCTTGTTGGTTTCTTTGTTGGAGTGAATTTGAAGAAAATCTCCCCCACATGGGCTCCCATTCTTGTGCATGTGACTTTTGAGGGCCAAAAGCAGCCAAACCTGGAAGGACTTGAGATTCCAAACTCCCCATGGTGCCTGCCAATCTAAAGTGAGAGAAAGTGGACAAGAGAGAGGACAGAACAGATGGTGGGGATGTCTCTTTTTGCCCTCCCAGGCATCTGTGCATCACTTGGTGAGGAGGGATAGATCAAATCGGTGTTTTCTAAGCTCTTCAGCTGCCTTGGGAAGGATGGCCTGGAAAAGAAAGTGGAAAGAAGGAGGAGTCCTGGAGACCCGGAATGAGAGAATTTGGAGAAGTTGCTAGAAGCTCTGGGACAGTTGTGCCCAAGGAGGGGAGAAGAGGAAGACAGGACCCATGGAGCTCCCCCAAGCCTGAAACAGAAAAAGGAGTTAAGTTGGGCAGAGAGAGGAGAAGCAGTACTGAAAATCACCCACTCCAGGAACCTGGGCTTCAGGCACTGTCACCTTGGGCACTGGGGGTTGGGCAGTGGTAGAAACTGGGTCTGTGCCTTCTGTGCCCATATCATGCATGGTGACTGAGGAAGCTGCTGGAGAAAGCCAAATAGGGTCACCAAACTCTGCAAAATAGAAGAACCACCTTCCTTCCTTCTCCCCTGCAGCTATATATCTGATATATCTGCTCCACATGTCTATATTCTGAAATGGAAAGAAGAAAAAAAAAACACAATCAAAATCCTTGCAGTGGATGGGGGGAGAGCCTAGGTCTTTCTGGGGTCTGGGCCCTTGTCCTCAGCTGTCAATCAGCACTATGCAGGCACTATGCAAGAGCCAGCCCCAAACCAATGCCTGTTAGAGTCAATCCCTGTTAGTTCTCCCCAGGATCCTATTGCTGAAAGGGCTTTGCCTCAGTGGCTCCTACCGACAGCATAAGGGAGATAGAATCATGGATGGCTCTGGGGAGGACTGGGGCTTCCTTGTTCTCCAGATTTGGGTTTGTGCACTATGGTGTTTCTGAATGGGTCAGGATTCTTTTTCACCTTCCTTGCTGCTTTGTAGGGTTCTCCCATCGTGGTCCTGAAGGTTATCTGTCCTTCTGTGGTCCCTCTTTTATAAATTATATATAAGCTATTCCCCCAAAGCTTCTGTGTTAATGCAGGAATATTCAGAGGAGAAAAGATGGGAGTTTTGAGTGATATCACCAATTAGTCCATCCTAGTTTGAATGAATAACTGTGGTAACTGTAGGAAGGTGGGGCATGAGCAATGGCTGGGTTACTGGGGATATGCCCTGAAGGGTTCACCTTCCCCCTGACCACTCCTCCTTTCCCTCTCTGCTTCCTAGCTGCCATGAGATAAGGAGAGCTCCTCCAACCACACCCTTCTACATGATATTCTGCAATGGTGTCAGCTGTTCGTGGACTGAACTTCAGAAATCATGAGCCAAAATAAAGTTCTCCTCCTCTAGGTTTTTCTGGTCAAGTATTTTTATAGTGACAAAAGTCTCACTAACATATCTCTCTGAGTTCTACAGCCAGCTTTAGAAAAGCTTTGGCAGGAGACAAGGCCTCAGCATTTCAAAAGCATCATTCCTCCTTGAACTTAGGACAGATAGTGTGTGGTGGCTTTTCTCGTGCAGCTGATTGATCAGGACATTTTGTACCTGACCTGTGAAACAAGAGATGTCCACCTGTCCTTGTCTTCTTGGCACACCTCCAAACTTTCCTTTGGCTCCATTTGGCCCCAAAGTCACCCTTTACCATCTTTTCCTCAGTGACCCGACACAGCTTTCTCTACAGGAGCCACAATCTTGTCTTCCTTGACACACATAAAATATCATGTTAAGTAGAAGTGATACAAATGGGCAATGTTGTATTGCTCTTTATCATTCAGGAAAAGGGTGTAGACTTTCACTTTACAGTATATGTGTTATATATGACTTTCATATATGGCCTTTAATATGTTGAAGGTGTTCTTTTGTATTTTTAATCTGAGCAAAGTGTTGGATTTTGTTACATACTTTCCCTGCATCAATTGAGATGCATATGTAGTTTACTTTCTTCATTCCATTAATAATTTGTATTACAGTGATTGATATTTGAATGTTTAACCATCATTACATGTTAAATATTCAATTTTATCATGGTGTGTAAACTTTTGATAGGCTGCTGACATAAGTTTCCTGGTGTTTTATTGAGAGTTTTACATCTGTGCTCCTAATGGATATTGGTCTTTAGTTCTCATGGTCTGGCTTTGTTGAAAGAGTTGGGAAGTATTTCCTCATTTTTGAGCTTTGTGAAGATTTTGGGAAACTGTGTGATAACATTCAACAGTAAATAGACTCTTCCCATTTCATCTAGTTATTCAATTGTACAAATGTTAGTAATATGTTCTGATGATTTCTTATTTCTGTTACTTTCAGTCACATTTCCATTTTCAATTTATGGTTTTAGTAATGTTCAGTCAGGTCTCTTGTTCTAAGCCAATCAAGATAAAGATTTTTTTCTTCAATTTTATCGATCTTTTCAAAGAAACAATCTTGGCTTCTTAGATTTTTTTTTTCTATTTCGCTACTTGGAGTAAGGAAATCTTTCTATTTTCTTTTTTATCTTTGATTTCAGGTTTCTTCTTCTGGTGCTTTCAGATGTACAGTTTCTCAAATGGGGATAGTTCCTATTTTTTTTTTAATATACTTGCTTAAAAGTGTGTTTTTCCTCCGTCCTGCAGTATCCTACATTTTGCTATGTTCTCTTTTCCTTCTCATTTGTCTCAAGGTGTTTTGTAATATTTGATTTCTCTTTTGTTCCTGAGAGTCTTTGTTTCACATTCAAATGTTAGTTATTTTTTGACTTTTTCTTCTGATATTGATATTGATATCTAATTTCCTTCCATGGTGATTGAAAAAAATATTTAAGATGATGAATCTTTAATGTTTATTCTGTGACTAACATGTGATCTCCTCTGGGGACTATTTCATGTGAACTTAAAAAAACTGAATTGTGAAATTGTCTGATAGGATGTTCTGTGTGTGTATGTTAAATACATTTTCTTAATTCTCTTTCTCCTTTTAGTCTGTCTGGTTTTACTCATGATTGAAAGTGAATGTAGAAGACTCCACCTGTGTAGCTCTATTTTTCTCATCCATTCTAGCCTTGTTTGCTCTAATTTTGGTGCCTGTCAATTTATAATTGTTTCATTTTCTTGGTGATGTGATTTTTTTACCAACATATAATTTTCTTCTTTTTCCTCTTCATTATTGTAACTTAAATTTAATCATCTCTAATATAGGTTAATTACCTCAGCTCTCTTTTGTTTTCTGTTTGTATGGAATATCTTTACCATCCTTATATCTACCATATATTTGTGCCTTTAAATTCAAACAGGTTTGTTCCACCAATATATGAGATTGGACTAGACAGTTTATCCATTGATATTTAAAGTCAAACTGATAGTAAGGACTTAAATTTTAACATTATAAATTTCCTTTGTGTGTGTCATCAGTTCTTTTGTGTTTTTTATTCTTTTGTCCATTTCTATCTTCAGGTATATTTATTTATTTTAGTGTAGAACACATTCTGATTCTCTTTCTCTCATTTTTTCTGTTTGGGTTGGGGAAGTGCTAGGAATTGAACTCTGGCCACTTTACCACTGAGCTACATCCTCAGCCCTTTTTAAACATTTTTATTTTGAGATAGGTTTTCATTAGCTTGCTGAGTCTGGCCTTTAACTTATGATCTTCCTATTTCAGCCTCCTGAGATACTGGGATTACATTTTTATTATATTCTCATTTCCATTTTGTATTTTGAATTATAAATATGATTACATGTGAATTATATATAAAATCCTAAAATTAAATCAATTCAATTTGTATTGCTATAAGCTAAACTTAAAATGCACTGAATAATGCATTCCTGTACAACTTTGTTTGCCTTAATATTTTCAGTTTTACAAATTACATATTTATATGCTGTGTGCCCCAAAACAGAAATATGCAATAATATTTGTGCATTTATCTTTTATATGTTTTAGAGAATATAAAGTGAAGTCGCAAACCAAGATTCCAGCTGTGACTCTTGTATTTGTTTGTGAATTTATTTATTTTTTTATCAGAAATTATTGTACATTCATATAGTTTCAGGTTCTTTTCTGGTGTCTCCAAGACTGGCTTTAGAATTTGTTTTTAAAAGGAGACAATGTCTTTTAATTTTACATTAGGCATCTTTTTAAAAATGTTTGTATAGTTGAGATGAAAAGAATGCCTTTATTTTGTTTATTTTTATGCAGTGATAAGGATCAAACCCACATTTGCCAAGCAAGTGCTCTGCCACTGAGCTACAGCCCCAGCCTACTTTAGAATTTTTTATAGCAAAGGTATAATGGCAATGAAACCCATCAAATTTTATTCGTGAATGTCTTAATTTCTCCCTTATTATTAAAGGACAGATCAGCAGAATATGGAATTCTCAATTTATAGTTTTTCTCCTCCACCTCATCCTCTTCCTTCTCCTTCTTCTTATTCATTCCTTAAATATGTCATCTGCAGTTGATATTCAGGATGCCCATGGATAACAAAATATACAAATGTTCAATTCCCTTATATAAAACAAAGTATTATTTGCATATAATTATTAACATACCCCAGTAAACTTTAAATCTTTGCTGGATAATTTTAATTATTTTTATAAAATACTCAATACAATGTAAATTCTGTGTAAATGTTTGAAATACTGTATTGTTTAGGAATGATGAGAAGAAAAATTTCTATATTTTCATAGTACAGATGCAATTCTTTAAAATATTCACCTTCCACCTTTGGCTGAATGCATAGATGCAGATCCTGTGGATACGGATAGCCAAGTCTTCTGTCCTCCAGTTTTTGACTGAGAATTCCCTCTGTATGATTCTCTTCATTCCTGCTTTGAAGACTGTCTCTTTCCAATTGGCTTTCACCCATATGGTTATCAAGTTCCTTGGTGTGGGGTTTCTTTCTTTTACCCCAGTTGGACTTCATTGAGCTTGGACTTGAAGATTTGTGTCACTGATAAAATTTGTGAAGTGTTTGGCTACAGTTTCATCAAGGAATGTTTCCTTCCCTTTTGCTCTCATTTCTGATTCTGGGATCCTACGTTGTCTCTGCTCTTGTATGTGGTCCCTTGAACTCTGATCACTTCTCTACATTCTTTGTTTCTTTCTCTCTCTCTCCTTTCCTTGCTTCCTTTCTTCTTCTTCCCTTTATTTCTTCCTTTCCTTTTTCTTACTTTTCTTTCCTTCTTTCTTTTTTCTCTAAAACTCAAAAAAAAAAAAAAAAAACTCACAGTTTCCACACAAGTACACCCTTTCCCTCAACTAAACAAGTCCTCCAACCTGCTGACTGTTCCCAGGACATGTTGTGAGATAGAAAGCAGTGTAGACAAGTGGGAGGCAAGATCTCATGAGATGCCCAGCCACCTCACCTTTGATCTGCTAAGGGTCCCAAGACAATGTACACTGTGTGGCCTCCATTAATTTGTACAGAATGTGGGATGTCCCCTTTGCCAGTAGCTTGGATCTAAGTGCTGTTTCTATGCTGGTGGTCTAAGGGCATCCCTGCCACCTGTCTTTTTGGTGCTGTTCAAGATGCCAGGAGGCCTCAGTGCTTCAGGCTTTGTTGAGAGAAGGATGCAGCAGATGATGTGCCCCAGGACTAGTCCCTTTGCTCCAGATTGCCCTAT